GCAATAAGTAAAAAATGTCTGTGGGAATGCTTGGGAAATGTAAAGTACTTGCAATTTTCTTCCCCCCCGCCGTGTGTGTGTGTGTGTGTGTGTGTGTGTGTGTGTGTGTGTGTGTTATAGTATGAACCGGATCTGAAATAACAGGACCCAACTCAATGAAGGCTCTTTCCCCAAGACATCTGGTTTGCCAGAGCAGAGCCATGAAGACTCAAACCGAGACAAAAATGTGCTTGTCAGGCTTTTTGAAAAGTTGAATTTATTAATTGAGCATTTTTCTCTTAAATGTGAATTTCTAAAAAAATTTTGTTGTCGTATGATTGATTTAAGTAAATTACTGAGGACTTTGGTACCTCTGTAAAGGTTTGCTCTACTTCCTCAGCTTTGCCCCACCTTTAAGTCCTAAGCAATACCTGGGGTTTGCTAGTCCTCAGTCCAGGCCTTTGTCCCATGTTGCAGGGTAAAGCAGCCTGCTGGATGTTTGTCCTTCTTGTTATCTTCACGTTTGGAGGAATTAATCAAGCTATTCACCAGCCTCTTTATTCTTTAGTGAATTATCCCAATTTAACTATTCCTTCTAGCATCTCATCTACCATGAAGAAATCATGTTTTAAGTTAGTTTTCAATTTACTGGCTGATTTCTGAACCTTCAGCTTTGGGAGACAATAATACTAACACAGGAATATTCCATACATCTCCGCATGTTCTTACTTGTAGCAGATCTTCTTATGTGGGATGCCCTTCTGTATGATATGAATAAGTTTTATTACCATCGGTTAAAAAGAAGCCAATTTGGCTAATAGCCAGTATAAATGGTGGGAAATCTAAACAGAAAGAAAGCAGAGTCAGGGAGATACCAGCAGCCGCTAGAGAAGCAAGGTATGCAGTAACAAGCCACAAGCCTTGTAGTAAAATGTAGACTAATTGAAATGGGTTAATTTAAGTTATAAGAGCTAGTTAATAATAAGCCTGAACTAATAGGTCAAACAGTTTGTAATTAATATTAAGGAACTGGTGGGTGGGAGAGAAGCTTCCAGTTACAATCTTCTATTGTGTTTGCACCATTCTAAAACTTGGGGCCGGAACAGCTTGTCTGCACACAGTGCGATGATGCTGTTATAATGTGCTATGGGACTAACATGTGTCAACTGGAGTCTTTAATTGTTTTCTTATAACCTAAGTATGTTATCAAAAACGAGACAAGCCCTTTAAACTTCTCAGAGCCTTCCAGCCCAAACAGACTTTGGAGTAAATAATGAACATTACAGTCTGACATGGTTACAATTTTCACAGTTTTTCAAGTGGGAAAAGTTGATAATTTTATCAAAAGTTTCTGTGTTTAGAAAGTATCTTTTGATCTGGTATCCCAGGGATTTACCCGTGTGGGCTTACTTTTTCTTACTACTACTTCCAGACATCAACCTGTCAAATGTGTGGTCGCTGCCCCTGCTTTCCAAGTGAGAGACTGGGTGTTAGGATTTCAACTACATGCTCTGGAGGTGTGTGGGGGGTGGTGGTGGTGGTGACTGGTCAGGAGGCAACTGGGATTTAAAGTGGCCACCGGCTTCAGGATTTGTCATTTAAATCTCTTCTGTGTCCTGGGCACTCCCACGAGAGGGTTTGTCTTTGCAGCAGCCTAGGGAGCCTGACGTTTTGCCAAGTTTCCACTTGAGAAATGGAGACTCTAAAAAGTAAAATGATGGGACCCAGGTTTAACCATTGTTTTTGATTGAGTGAAACCCACGGATAAATACGCATGCGCCTCTCTGCTAGTCTTTTTCTCTGCAGCACCAGGGTCCTGGCAGCAAAGGCTCAGATTCAAGCTTGCAGTTCAGGAAAAAGAGGAAGAAAGAGGTTTTCTTTGGAGACCTTAAAGGGTCAAAGTGTGAATTCTTACCCAGTAGATCAAAGGAATCACTGAGTAAGAGTGTCTCCTTGAGTCCCCACTGCCCTTCGAGCTGGTACACTAGAATAACAATTCTGCTAGCTCTAGAAGGCTGGTGTATTTATGCTGTGAATGAGTCCAGAGTATTTACATATTCAACTCATTCAGCCCAGCCTGGCAGCCTCACAAAGCACTAGCCAGAATTTTGCTGTTGGAGCCTCTACCACTGGACAAGACAAGCTTGGCTTCTGGTAGCTCAGTTGCTGTCTCGCCTTTGCTGTGACCTGCTCCCAGCCTGTCACTTTTATACATGTATCGGATCAAGATGGATGATATTTACATCATTTGAATAAATGTTAATAATCACCTTAATCTCAGTAAGCTTTTCAGATGAAACAGTCAAGCCACTACCTGATCATCTAAGCCCCTAGAGAGAAGCAATCACCTTGCAAAGCTGTGAGAATTTCTCTAGCATACTGGACCTCATCTGGGCAGGATCTGTGTGACTAAGATCTGGGGAGAGCAAGCAGGTGCTTTACATAGGTGGATGGCTAAAGAGAATGCATAATCCCACTCCGGTATTGAAATATTGTCCTCCCGAATCCAGTTCTAATCTATTTGCCATCTGTCTGCCATTACTTTTGAAGTCAGATTTTTAAAATATTGGTAATAATGCCCAATGCCAGTGTCTATTAAACGCTTATTGTATGCCCAACAATGAACTCCAGTGTGGCATTGCTCTGCCCCACTTCATGTAAAGACATCATTCTTTCCATGCCTTCCAGGAGAGCAACCAGTCTCAGAGGGACTCCTTGTCTAAGGTCACATAACCACTAACTGACATGGTCACAGCCACATTCAAACTGGTTGTTTGCATCTAATTTAATGTCAAATAGACTCACTAGTATCATTCTGTGAACAGTGAAATGGTTTGGATAAAATTACATAGTTAGGAGAAAATTAGGGCTTGGGACTACAGTAAAGAGAAGAGAGAGGTTGTTTTTTAAAAGTTGAGTGAATGGGGAGCCTATAAAGTGATTTTGAGAATCCCTTCTGGACCATCGGATGAGGCTGAATGGGCATCTCATTCGTGAAGCATTAGAGCTGGAAGCTTATTTTACACATGAGGAAAGCAAGGAACAGAGAAGGGAGTAGCTTGTTCAAGGTTATAATAATCATAAACATTTTCATTATTTCCTCGGAGATTTGTTACCTCTTATTTCTTCACAACATATTTGAGGATATATTCAGACCAAATCTTAAGCAAAATAAAGCATTTTACTGTGGTTCATTTCTCTCTGTGAACATCAGAGAGATACTCTGATACTCAGCAGAGTCTGTCCTAGCAGACGGAACCCCAGAAAACCGACAATTTAGCACAACCATGTCAGCCTGATTATTCTCCAGAATCATCAAATCCTTCCAGTTCCCAAATCCAAAATGTGAATGTCTCATTCTTGGGAGCAGGGCTGTTCCCTTCGGTTTAGATGCTGTGGCTATGGCTCATGTGCCTCAGGAGGACTTATCCAGGATAGGGGCTGTGCATACGCTGCACCATCTATGAACCATGAACTGCACATGGGTCTTCATTGATGAAGACCACATGTTGTCTCCATTGTCTTAAGTGCCTCAGAGTCACCCTCTACATGTTCAGTGATTGAATGATACAGATGAATGCATGGAAAAATCCAGCCGTTTTTATCATTAGCGGAGCAGTAAAGCAAGGCTCACCCTTAACTGCAGCATGAACCCGACAAAGACAATATCAATCCCACATCACTATTAGTGTTCCAGGCGCAGAACTGGCTGAAGTCTAGGGTAATTGTGTTGAAACATGTGTGTGCTTTTGTAGAATCAGGCAGTCCTGCCTCGATTTATCACCCAGGAAATTGTCAGCGATTGGAACGACCTCCTGCACTACCGCTATTCTTAGAAGAAGCAGTGGCGTAAGGCAACGGAAAGACGGACTAGAAAATCCTTTAAATAGCATCAGAAAGGTTTTCAATACATTTTGCAATTAAGCCTGTGCTTTCCCATGAACACAAAATTTGCATCCATGATGTTCTTGTGAAGGCTCCACCCACAGCTGACGTGTTGGAGATCGGCTCCTCCTTCACTGTTTCCCTATTTGACATGGACTGTTTATTGTGCTACCCAGCTAAGAGACAGACATGGGGAAGGTGCCATCACCCAGGTCTCATAAACTCACAGTGACATAATTTAACTGGGCTGAGTCAACTGGCTCTCAAGTCACAGGACCAGGACTCAGCTTCCCTTCTGGTTTCACTTTGCTGTGTGACATTAAAGTCAGGTTCTTAACTTCTCAAATTTGTGTGGCATAAAATGGGAAGTATGATCAATGGCAATCACTTTATCATGTCAAGGTCTTGGGTGGGTTAAATGAGATCATACAAGTCCCTCGTAGAAAATGTGGCAATCACCACAAAAGATTATCTACCGAACACTTGACAATTCTATTGTAATTGCTTTTCATAGAATAATGTAAACCTAAACTTAAACAATAACAATGGAGGCAGTGAAATGAAGATACTAGGAATGTTTTATTTTAAAGAAAAAATGAGTGTGGGTGGAATTTGGGCAGCAGATATTAGAACTAGATCCAAAGGTGATTCCATATTTTGGTATGAGAGACTAGGTAGAGGAATGAGTATCCTTACAGGAGAGGATGGTATACCCATCCTCCGGCATGTAGAGTTGTGGCTCTAAAAAGGAAGCCCATTTGTATGGACAATCTGGCATCCAGAAGAGGATATTAAAGTCACAAAGAGAACCCACAAAATTATTTTATGTGTGGAAACCAATCCAGTGAATTCATTTTTTGTACTGTTGATACTAAAGGTGATGACACTGAAGAGAATATGTGAACCTTCTATAATATCAGCCAAAATAATAAAAGAAATCCCATTTCTAAAGCCAAGTACAACTCAGAGGCTATGATTCTCCTGTGAACTTGCCATTGGATGGCATTACACCTGGGTCCTAAAGCCTCCTTTGACCGCTTGTGGAATGAGTCTTGACCTAAACCACACAACCCCGGCATGCAGTGAGGATGCACGATGTCAAAACAAAGCCAAGTAAAGACCCTATCTACATTTACCTACTCTGATCCCAATTGGCAGCAAACAGCAGGAGAATCTTCCTGCCGTAGTGGTCACGGTTTTCCAGCACACCAGGGAACCCATCAATCAACGCCCTCTTAATGCCGGGATCATCTGCCTTGAAGTTTTTGAACATGTCCAGGTTTAGCTGGCGGTACTGAAAGTACTGGGCCAGGAGTCTGAAGGCATCGGCTTGGTGAAACTTCCTGGCTCGGAGAAAACGCAGGATGAAGGCATCATCTGTTCGTAAAAACCCAATGTCCGGCCTGGTGATGATCATGTCTCTGACTTGTTGAATGTCCTGATGTAAAACATCCGGGTTCTCATTCAGTTCCAGGCGGGCTTTCTCTATCGTGTCTGGACTGAGCCCAGCCTGCAAGTGCGTCATCTTGGCCAAATCTCCTTCCCAAGTGCTTAAGCTCTGAGGTTTGGGAAGAACAGAAACTGGTCCCATTCACGGGAAAGCGCGCTGACTCCGTGGCCCATCCAGTGGTTCTCCTACAAGACTGCCCCCAAAACAGACAAGCGGAGAGGCTTCTTCCGGTCCCTGGGAAACAGCCGGACATTCAGACCCTATGTGGTGGTGGCATCCAAACCAGAACGAAAACCGTGGTCATGGCTTACTGAAAAACAAATGCACACAAGAGAAACAAGAGAGAAATGATGCAGAGAAATTAGAGACAAATGAATGGGACACTAGCCAGAAAACAGTACATATACAAATCATAAGTACTGATGAGTACATATCCTGTAACTCAACTGTGTGTGATTCTTTAGTTAGGGCATCTGCCCTTATTAGCAACAACATAAATATTGGATATGCAAATATTTGAAATACATTCACAAAAATTTTAGTTACAGTGAGTGACCCCTTAAGATAATTCCCTTTGGTCAAAATATCAAAAGAGTATTATTTTATTAATGAAAGTTTTTGTTGTGGTGGTTGTTGCTAAAACACACTGTATGGGACTGTTCATGGGCCTAGAGAGGACAGATATGGCTGCTATACAGTTGATTGTTTCCCATTCGCCTCGTTTCTTAAACAGAAGTGTCTCAGACAGAAATCTGCCCCTCACATCTTTTAAAAGCAGCCATCCACAACTTACAATACTAAGATAATACTAAAGGTCACTCTAACCTGACCTCAAGGTGCCTAATTAATGGTAAGAGTATTATCGCAGTGGGGTGGGTTGTGGCAGACACATCCAGGGCTGGAAGGCCGACCTTCAGTAAGGGCATCCTGAGCAATGAGAAAGTTTCTGGGATCATGTAGAATTTCTTATTCTGACTTCTTCAACTCCTGCAAAGACACCACGGGCTCTCAGTCTGCCCTCTACCTCGTCCATCTGGGCCCTGAAATCTGTCCATTTTCTGTAGCTTATGTATTGTGCCAAGATATTGTTTTACACAGGATTATTGTCTTTTTTTCTCCATATAAATGGAAAACAAAAAAGGAAAGGAAATCAGCTATATTATTCGCATCACCTTTTTGTTTTGTGTAGTAATGCTTAACCTCTGGCAGGTGTCTGTCTGAGGTATCCTTCAAGTTCTCAAGACCAAAGGACAGGTATGTGTGTCTATTTGAAACCATGGTTTGCGCGGGACCTAGGAGAGCTGGCTCCATCCCTTGCCTGAGGGATATGGTCCCAGAGGGCTGAACTGACCAGCTCAGCTGCCATCCATACCCATACCCATACCCATAGCCTTGGGTTGGCCCACCCTAACACGATCACGTCTAGGGCCTGCTGGAGCATAGGAAGGAACTGATTCTGAGGAATGGCAGCCACAGGATCCCCATGACTTAGGGCAACAGCAAGATATCTGAGAGGAGTTTTGGTGAAGGTCCAGTGAGGATGGGGTGCCAGAGGCCAGAGACTTTGAACCAGACCAATGACTCATTGCAAAGAACGTTTGCAGGTGGGGCTGACTGGACCAAAGAATCTACTGCATGACACACCATAGCCCCCAGTGCCACCAGGATGAATGAAGAGGTGTTGGAGAGGTGGAAAAGAAGGAAGAGCAAAGTGTGTTGTTTGTTTGTTTGTTTTGTTTTGTTTTAATTAATTTGCGGAGTTCTTTTGACGAGGTCCTTTGATGGAGACACTGCAGGAGTAAGGTGTGGGTGTGGGGGACTGTGAGGTGAGAGGGATTGGATTGCATGATGTGAAATTCCAAAAGAATCAATAAAGAATTGTGCATATATATATATATATATATGCTCATTGCTTCCTATGTGAACATTATTTATAGTAAGAAGCAAAATATTCACTTTCCATCTGATCATTATTGATAATGCTTCATCACACAAGATTATTCAAAAGACAAAATGAATGTCCTGCTTAGATGTCTACATACATCTGCTTCATGGTGGGAGAGATGAGGAAAATTAAAGTAACTGATATTTGTTTTTAATGTAATAATATAAAATGACATGTTTAAATACATTTGCTCTGTAAAATAGCATCTAGATCTATAATACATGAATAAGAAACAGTTCTTTTTTTTTTGCTAATCTTAAAGACCCACAAGGGTGATTGGAAATAGTGCTCTGAGCTGTCCTAGGAAACTTTAAGCTCTAGCTGGTTCAATATTCATCCATTGTTAAATCCCTTCTCCCGTAGGCTCATCACAAGCCTTCAGAGAGCTGCCTCATTGTGTATCTCCTTCCTCTTTTTCACCCACACACTTGCCACGCCCTCAGACACACTGCTGGACAAGCTCCCACCAGCCAGCCAAAGATGGAGGAATAATTGTTACTTAAACATAGACACTAATAACGCTGTGTTGGCTGCTTTATGACAACTTAACACTAGCTCAAGTCATCTGAGAGGAGGGAACCTCACTTGAGAAATTCCTTCCCTAAGACTGAGCTATAGGCAAGCCCATACAGGATTTTCTTAAGTGGTAATTGGTACAGGAGGACCCAGCCCATTGTGGGGACGCCACTCCTAGGCTGGTGGACTTGGATTCTATAAGAATCCAGTTTGAGCAAACCATAAGGAGCACACCAGTAAACAGCACCCTTCCATGGCCTCTGCATCAGCTCCTGCCTCCAAGTTTCTGCTTTCTTTGAGTTCCTGCCTTGGTTTCCCTCAGTGGATTGTGAGTCAGGATAAGAGAACTAAGTAAACCCTTTCCTCCCAAAGTTGCTTTTGGCCATGGTGTTTCATCATAGCAATAGTAACTCTAGCTAAGACAGACACTAATAATGAGGATGGCGGAATAAACCCAAACTGGAAGAGTACCGAGCAGTCCAGACAGATAGTCACCTAGTACTGAATGGTGTTCAATGTTACTGCATCCAAAAGACAATTTTCAGTTTCCAGTCTGGGTGACATCGATCAGTATTTGGCACCGGCTGTTTCCTCTTTAAGGGCATCTTCTCCTTCCCTCATTCCATTCTCTGTCCATATACCCTGGTCATGCCCTGGCCTCCCCTGACACCCACCCCCACCAGATCTCTGCTCATCAGTGCTCATTCCTTCCTCTCCCTCTGTGCAAGCCAATGCTACAATGTTCAGGATCCGGCCCCATAATCTGTCCACCTGCACTCAAATAGCTTCAGTCCCTAGCATTCTCTGGGTTCTGCAGGCTCCTCTCTCAGTTGCCTACTGAGCATCTCTCTGCAGATGCCCGACAGGTACTATAAACACATTATGTTCACAACTGAACTACTAGTTCTCTATCCTGAATTTGATTCTCCAACTCCATCTCTTAGTGAAGGACATCATCTTCCAGGCAGATTCACATACTGGAAATCTGAGAATCAACTCTTAGTCTACCCTCTCCTTCACCATCCCTAGCACACTTTTTAAATAGCTCTCAAATCTGTCCATCTTTCCAGCACCACGGGTGCCGAAATAATTGAGACCATCACTACTGATGTTTAGAATGGAAACAGGTTTTCTGCCATAGCCTCTCCTTCCAATCTAAGAATCCTCTATCTTCCCATTATTCTCAGTATTACAATGAAGAGACACTCACATCACGTGATGATCAACATCCAATTTTAGCTCCTAACTCCTCATCATTCTTCAGAACTCAATCTGAAAGTCACATTTCCCAAGAAACTGTCCCCGGCCTCAGAAGTCAGAAATCAAGGGATCCACACACACTTAACCACGCCGTGTTATCTCCACAGCATCACTTCCCCCTTCTATTTAGAATTTCCTAAAGATGGAGGGGTCTATTATTTATCTGTGAATCCTCGGTATGCAGTATAAAGAGGCTCAGCTGTGGGCGAAGAATTTCCCACTGACACTTTCTCAATACCTAGGACAGGGCACATGATGCAGCAGATACTACCAGTTAGACAAAGCATCAATGAAAACAGCAGTCAAAATACTGTTTTTACAAGTCAGTGCATCTCCCATGTCCGGGGCAGGCTAACTTTCCTTTAATGTCCTCCCTTATTTACAAAGAATTCCCCTGCCCCCAGAGAATCTCCCCTAGGCACATTGTATTTCAGATCCTGGTTTCACTGAAGCATTCTGGGTAATGTTCACAGTTCCAAGCCAAGGAACACAATGCTAAGAGCACAAAGCATCGCGACAGCTTGTTCCCTGAAGAAGATTTAAAGCTGCTTTGGAGCAAGTTTCTTACCTCACAGTTCGGGGAGCTCAACCATGTTTCCCAGATAAATGACTTTGGGTTCAAGGGGAGAATTGAAGTCGCATTTTTCATGCCCTGCCTCCATACATAGCTTTGCTTCCAAACCATAATATCCAAAATAAATTCGCTCGAAAAATCTTCATCTTTATTCTGTGTTCAGCATGCAATAGAAGCTTCTGGTGAGAATAATCCAGTCAGGGTCACTGGATTGCATGCTTAAGATGAAATATATATTTCATTAAATGTAAATCCTTCCTACCAGAGCCCGAACAGCCCGCTATTTAAGTAACACCAATCAATGCTGGTTAAGGTACAAGAAACGCTGTATGGACAATGTTTATCACAATGTAGCATTTTCAATCAGCCACAAGCTTTAGTTGCCACTCGACTTTTCCCGATTATGAATAGGTTACACTGGACATGATGTCCTCCTCGTGAGTGAGAGTGGTTTTTCTTCCTGATGGTATTCATAAGAATGACAATAGCTACGATTCGTTATTCACCATTGCTCTGTTTATTATGTCCTAGACACAGATTCTCTTCATAGACTACAATACTCTTTAGAACAACTGTATGAAATGAGTGGAAATTGAGATGCAAAAAATTTAAATTATCCAGAGGCAGGCACTGGATGGCAGTCCAAATAATCGTTCTGTACTATGGCCTTCATTCGCCTGCTGATGTGCCTCTTCTGTATAGCAGGGGTCTCAGTATTTGCAACTTAACATCTGTATGCCATTCCTGTCGAAACTCCAGACCCTCAGCCTCCTTCCCTCACTCCTCTCCCATACTAACCCTTCTATGGGTCCAGATCTGCCTCTGGGTTGCCAGGTTTTCTTAGACAGCCTAGAGCTACGCCTACAGATAGGTGCTCACTTTGTTTTCATTGGGTGATGACTGGGACTGTTTAAGTCGTAGCTGGCTGTGCTTTTCCAGCTGGTGCCTCTTTTTCTCTTTGTAGTGTTTTCCTTTGCCAACAATTCAAAGACCCTGCCCATGTCTCAGAAAGACC